TTTGGGGGGGGTGAAAGGTGGAGGGAAAGGGAGAGTATTATGTAATAAATCTCTTTAGATAATAACTTTCAGAAAACTACCTTGAAAGGGGGATTATACCTGATGGTATTTAAATTAGAAAATGTAGTACTGTCATTTTTTCATCATCATAAGAAGAGAGAAGCAGGAGACATAGTCTAATTTAAAGGGTCAATGATTTCCTTAAATTTCATGAAATACCAAGTTACTATATAAAGCTGAATATAACTGGTACTCTAAAAATTGAACTATCTGGTAAAAGTCAACTTTAAACATCCCTGTCAGTTATCCTGTCAAGACTAAAAGAAACCCTGGTGTTTTCCTTAAGTCTTCTGAAAGAAGATGAAGGGGAATTAAAAAACACTTTTGGAGAACTACTTGAATCATTACTGAAAAAGGAAATAGAATGAAGCTTCTGTTAAGGTCACTAAGTAAAAATTTACTTTTAGTAAAGAAGGCTCTCAATTAGAACAAAAAATCTGATTAGAAAGCTAGTAAATTGAAGAAATTAAGCAACTAAAAGACCTATACAGGTAGATACAGCAGAATGCAGGGTAATATTATTATTATTAACTTAATATTAATTAAATGCCTCTGCAGTAAGCCATTTATATCATAACCTCATTTAATCCTTATACTAAACGTGGGAGACTGGTAGTGTTAGCCCCTTTTACAAAGAAATTAAGACTTACATAGGTCAAGTAACTTCAACAAAGTGGCCAAGAAGAATTGACTAAAAACTCAAGATCCTAACTCGAATGTCATATTGTCTCTACACTGCTTCTTCTGAAACTTAATACTTTGCTGGATGTTTCTGCATCAGGGTAACTTCTCTAAAGGCAAAAGTCATTCTGCTCTTAGTGCCAGCTCTTACTCTCCATCTGCAAGCAACTTCAGAGATTAAGTGAATCACTTCAATCATCAAATGAGTTCAATTTTCTTGCATATTCATGAACTCTAATCTGACCCAGTATCTGCTATCTAAAAACAAAATAAAAATTTGCCCTTGAACAAAGGAAGACCTTTATTGAATAAAAGCAACTCAAAAGGTAATGCTCATATTACTCTGGAATGGTGTTTGGGAGATTTAGTAAAACTGGACATCTGCACACCCTGGGCTAACAATTCCATTCCTAGGTTTGTACCCATAAGGAAAAGATCTGAAAGACAAGATCAACAGTGTTCAAAACAGTACTATTCAAAATAGCCTTAACTTCAAAACAACTAAGATGCCCATCAATAATAGAAGTGAGAATGGATAGACTATACTATATTTACACAATGGAACAAATGACCCACGCCTAGATGCAACCATAATGGATAAATCTCACAAACATGATGGAGGAAAAAAGTTAAACACAAAAGAGTTCATATCGCACATATTTAAAGTTCAAAAACAAATAGATAATCTATGGTGTTAGAAAGTCAGTATGGTGATTACCCTCTTCAGAGGGGTAGTTACTAAAAAGAGGCAGTGAAGGGGAGAAGGGCTTCTGAAATGCAGATAATGTTCTGTTTTGTTTTTTTTTTAATCTGTACTGATGGTTTTACTGTGTTGATTTTTCTAAAAATCATTACATTTTCATTAATTTTTGTGCATTTTCCTTTATTCTGCTATAAAAAGTTACTATGATTTATTCTGATGGGTTAAGAGCATAATACTTGTATTATGAATGTTTAATATATTTAGCCTTTTTCTTATATTGCTAAACAGAGGCAAACAATAAAACACAGGTTTAGTCTCTGAAAATTATTTTCATTTCAATTATTGACTAAAAGATAATCTACACAGAGTTTCACTCATCTTAATATAGGAAAATGTATTTTTAAACTCTAGTTTCAAATCCTCTTGCCATCCATCATCTGGGAATTAACCCAGGTCATCATATATTCAAGTTTAAGCAAATGTTTGAAATAAAATTGTTAATAACTAGCAGTTTTTGTCTTAGGCTGCATAGTCAAACTCTATAAAATTCTTCCCTGTTCTGCTAAATTAACTTCATATTCTTAATCTCAGAATGAATGAAGAAATCCTTGAAACCATCTACTTTAGGGAAGCATGATATGATGATGTACCTTCTAAGAATAAAGTCTCTCAAAGTATTTTTCAATTTGTAATAGGATCTTTGAGCAAAATACTTTGCAGACCAATATATTTTTTGGTCAGAATGATAAACTGAAAAATCTAGACTTTTTTCCATCTGAGAGTTTCCTAACCTTCTATTTGTAACTAAACATTAATGCATAACCATCAAGATTTAAACTGTTTTCTTAAAAAGAGACACTATAACCAAAAAAACCCCACCTCTGTATGATTCTATTTAAGACTATGTTACTATTTCCATTCTTAGAATATTTCATAGCATATGAAGGAACAGCTTTTGATATAAATATTTTATTAACTACAAGAAGGAAAGGGGCAGAGAAAAAACACAGACAGGCAGGAAATAAAAGTTTATTCAAAAATTTCCTTTGTAATGTAATCCTTGACAAAGATGAGTTAGTGGAAAGAACAAATGTCCTGAAGCACACTACAATACTGTTCCCAATAAAATTTATTTTGAAAAATTACTTTACTGTTAAAGGATGTTATTATTTATTTCTCTTGATATCATTATGCTATGATTCTAAACTACTTTATGTTTTGAAAAGCTCTGCAATATCCTTAAACAGCTATACAGCACAGGTTTAAGGAGAGGAAAAACATCATAGATCTATGATGGTTTTATTAATGTTAATGAACATTATGATCTTTCAAGCACTGTGATTATGAATCATAGTTGACAGTGATGAGAAAGATTATAGATTTACTTTTTGGTCATAAATGTTGCTAATTTTCTTAGCAACTGATATAAGAAATTCAAATATCTTCAAGATAAAATTTCCTGAGAAATTATGAATCTAGGCTCCTGAAGACCCATGTACAATGCTCTGATGCCAGGTGTGCCATCCCTCAGGTAGAGACGACTTTAGGAAGTCACCATTCCAGTGAACTAAAGAACATAGTTATTACTCTACCAAAAGCGATTGAGAAATCTCATTTAGCTGGTTATGATTAAACACATTAATTTCATTCCATTTCCTATGAACACTAGAGAACCAATCTAGTATAAAATTAGATAATGTCTCTCAGCAAAAAATGTGAAGCAATGATAACAAATATTTGTAACCTCACACTATGTATTATGTATAATGCAAAGACTGTTAAAATGCCATACAGTCATTAAGAAATACCATGTAACACTAAACTCCAGCTTAGTACATAATAAAGTCCATAAATATTTATTTACCAAAACCTTTAGTATTAGTTTGTTTTAAGACTGCAGAGCCACAGCTCGGCGCCTGTGGCTTAAGCGGCTAAGGCACCAGCCACATACACCTAAGGTGGCTGGTTCGAATCCCCAGCCCGGGCCCGCCAAACAACAATGATGGCTGCAACCAAAAAATGGCCAGGCATTGTGGCGGGCGCCTGTAGTCCCAGCTACTTGGGAGGCTGAGGCAGGAGACTTGCTTGAGCCCAGGAGTTGGAGGTTGCTGTGAGCTGTTATGCCATGGCACTCTACCCAGGGGGATAGCTTGAGGCTCCGTCTCAAAAAAAAAAAAAAAAAAGAAGACTGTAGAACCAGATAATTTGGTTTTTACTTTTAAAGAACTAAAATTAGGGAATCAGAACTGGTCACTACACTAATTTGAATAATCAGGCAAAGTAGAGGTTTTTAGTACGAATGCCTAACTATGCTTTATGTAAGTTGAGGTCACACCATGTTAACTTTGAATAAGGTTTTAGCTACTATTTGTACATTCTTCCTTTAAGGTAAATTTAGAAAGGCATTTTATATAACTAATTTGTAAGTAGAAAGAGTAGGAGTATTAAGGTGTTATCAATCCACTAGCTGTTATATATTTAGGATTCAGGAACTTATTCTATGAACCCAGCAAGCCAACCCACCCTTCTTTATCAAAGTATGTTACCAATGACTAAAAATTTTACATGCTTACAAAGTGTTCTGTGACCTTTAGGTACTGTACAACTACTAACTAAAGCCTTTGAAGAGCAAAAGCCCAGCTATGCTTGCACATGGTATCATTACTGCTGTAGTAGGCTGAGAAATAACACTGTTATGCTTTACATCACTTACACATTTTTTCTTTTAAAATCCTGTTTTTACACTTCACTTCTAATTCCTAGCATGATTAAAATAGATTTTTTTTTAAGGAAGAGGAATTTTTACCTAAAACAAAAGTATAATAACGTGCAACTGTCTATATTAAACTTATAATCACGCATAGAGGTTTACACTTCATTACTTTTGCTTTTAAACACAGCTATATTTTTATAGACATTTATACTACTATTAAAAATACATACTTCTCATCAAGAAACTTTCCTATTACTGCTAAGATTGTCAAAACATTTTGATGGCAATACAATATGCATGTATTATAACAGTGTTCATTTCTTTAAAAAAGTAAAGTAAATATAGCTGCCTAAGAAACCAAAAACAACAAAATAAACAAATAGAAACACCTAAGGATTTTTATAAACTAACTTCATCTGGCAGAAGCCTTAACATCATACATAAAAAGATATCTTATAAATTGAGGAATGAGTTACTGTAAAAATCCCATTTATATTCACTCTTCGAGTATAACTGCATTAATAATAAAGACACCTGATTCTAAATTTATTTATTGAAACTTAAAAGTTCTTTATATTTGCAATACATTATTACATAGATATGGGCTTATTAAGAATTTAAATTATATAGACTTAATCACCTCATTTTACTTTGTAGGGATTATATATGCCCTAATATTTTCATTCCTCACAAATAATAAAGTTATAATTAAAATATTACTTAAAAATACAAATAGACCTTTTTGGTCAGTGAGTATTTATGGCTTAATATAATAGGAAAAAAGTGAATAAAGGAAAGTATTTTCTATTTTGACTTAGGTATGAAAGACAGGAGTCACTCTACCTCACAAAGCAGTAAGTCAATGATGTGGAACACCATGCAGAGTGGGAACTTGGCTGTGAAAAGAGTGAGAAACCACTGGGATGCATACATATGAGCCTCCAGGTTCAGGTCACAGAAATGGCTGTGCAGGTCTGGTAGCTGCTCCTAAAAATCAGAGTGGAAGATTTAGGAAGAGGAACACGGAAGATGCTTTGCCACAACTATAATTTAATAACAAGCTTTCTATGATCATTTAAACTTTACTACAGTATTGGTTGGATTTTATGTAACTACACAGGAGTGATGCTAGGAGATGGGAATCTAGTCTATAACAGATAATTGAAAAACATAAAAACAGATTAATTATACATGACTAACAAAGGTCATCTCTTGCTCCCTTGACTGTTCCAGTTTCTTGAGGAATGCTCATTCGGACAGAACACCTGCAGTGTAATGAATACCTTGACTCCAGGGTCAAGACACAGTATCGACATTCTGAGTTGAACTCTTAACTAACTAGAAAAAAACATTTCTTTGGAAACCTGCTAATACCAACATCATCTGTGGTCTATGATATCTTCTTGGTACATTATTTCAGCAAATGGAGAACTCCAATGCATAATCAGATATTTAAAAACCTATTTTCAACATAAGAGAAACGGCAAATAAAGAAAGTGTACAAGGGAATACAATTGGATATCTCTTAACAATGCCTTTATGCTAGCTTTATTTTTCCTAAAATAAACTTAAAAAAGAAAATGCCATTCAAAAGCAAGGAAGACAAAATGTTAGCATAGCTATCCCTATAACTGAAAGACAAAGGCAAAGAAACAGCAAATTTTGTTCTGAAACGTAAAATGCCTGTTTATAAAATGCCACCTTCATTTTGTTTTCATAAATAGATCACAAAAACAAAAATAAAAACTAAAACAAACCATTTCTCGCACTAGATGCTGTCATTGCAAAACACCCAAAGGTGCCCGTCAGGAACTTTAAATGGGTATCCAGTCATCCAGTTAACAGAAAAAAGGTGTTATCAGAAAAATGTGGTTGAATTTCCTCATAGTTCCACACATTTGCTCTTCACTTAACAGGTATATTTACCTGATTCTCACAGTCCTTAGGAATACTGACCTTTGAAAAAAATGAACTTTTATAAAGGAAAGGTAAAAAGTGAATAATTTCAAAAATTTTCTTGGTAAAATCAAATCTTTAAAATAGAGCCTATTACTTTTTCTGCCCACAGTTACTGGATTCTTCCACATAGTATTTCCCCCTGGATGCCCATTTGTCTTTGTCCTTATGGCTCATTTTATATCTTTCCCTCCACTTCCTCTTCACTTTAAAGGTCTTCTACCCTCTATACGCCCTTCTCCCAATAAAGCTTGTCCTTAACCTCACTGTAAACTCTGTCTTCTATTCCCTTATTCTTCTAATATTCAGTCTTCTAATGGGTTCACTTCACTCTTTAGTTGTCTGTGGCTCTCCTGACAGGTCATGCCAATGAACTTCTAACTGCTTCTATTCTCACATCCTATTAACCTTCTTCCCCAAACATTTTACCTTTCTCCACTATGAAATCACTGCAGCCATATACTTCTCCCACATTTCTCTTGGGTTCCCAACATCCTTTCAGAGAATCCCATATAAACATGATGAATAAGCCCATTATAAGTTTAAGATTTCTATCTTCAGGTAGAACTTCAAAGCTACTCAGTAATTCCTTTTGACAGCTCTAGTCAATCATTTTGCCCTTGCTCACAATCTTTTTTTATTATGTAACATTTAAAACACGTAAAAGAATGTATGTTTCTCGCATGTATACATTTAAAAATAGATATTATGAAATATAAGAATAATACTGAAATCAGAAAATTATGTGGAAAATATTTAGAACATGCCCCTGTATTACAGTATTTTAGGTGTTTTTTATTCTCTTTTTGTCTTTTCCAAGTGTTCTATATAAATCCAGATTAGGTAGTGGTATGATGAAAGCTCTTAGGTATTCAATTTTTATTCTTCAAATATTTTCATTCCTTAACAAATGATACTTGACAATATCTTCATTGGCTTAACAAATATACTGACTTCAAAGTCTATTAAAGTTGAGTATTTAAAAAGAAAGACTTTTTAAAGTTGCCAAATGGCTAATAAGTATATTATTATCATAGGTAGACTAATGTAGGTATTAGTCAGAAGCCAAATCCATTCATATTTCTGTAGTATTCTCTTAAACTTTTATAACTCATTATTTATTACCAATTCTATTGGGCTTTTTCTATAACTTAACAAACCCTAAATAATAAAAAACTCTCAATTTTTATTTACCTGCATTAGTCTTTCCAACTGATAGAATTTGCAATGAAGATCCTCAAAGTTGTTTTTGTACAGGTCTCGCAAACCATAGTCATACATGATTTTCACCAAAACACAGAATGCTTGCTCCTCTGGCATCTACAGGAAAATACAGACATATAAAACATGATTAGGTTGCATTGACCACACTGTCAAAAAGTTCTTTCAAGCTATTAGTTCTCTGCATAAATAGTTGAAGGCCTATAATATATGAAGCCCTTCAGAGTCAGGCTTCTGGAGAGTAAGATAGGTAAAATCTATGTTCAAAACTTCTAGTCCCTTCACTTGAGATAAATTGCCTTCTTTTGTTAATTTTAATCATGTTGTCATTTGTTAATTAGGCCATCTTTAAAACATGAAATACAGTGAACTGATTAAAAAAATCAAACA